AAAAAAAAAAAACTATTTTCTCAATTTCACGTGTATTTTTCTTATATTTCAAATTGAGAAAAAACTGAAAAAAGTGAACAGTCATCTTCAGTCGACTTACATATAACTTATAATTTTTAACTAAAACTAAAACTAATTACCAAGATAATTAATGCAACATTAATTTATACTTGTGAAAGCGATGCATTCGATCATCCTTTTCATGTTCCATTTTGACCGCTGAAGCAGCATCAAATGTAATAAATTTACTCCCCACATGTGATAAAGGTGAAGCCATTCCTGGTACAATCTGACTGCTTACTTGTGGATAAAGAGGTTGAGGAACAGGAAGAGAATGAATTTCATTCACCACATTCGCTGCATGTGATAGTTGCTAAAACCAGTTATTGTTTCAATAATTGAAATCCATACTTCAAATTTACCAGCTAGGCATAATTCACCAATTGTCCTCTATTGTTTTTCTTTAAAATCAAAAAATTAAATTTTCATGGAGCAAATGAGAAACTGCAATACATTGTAATGAGCGCTCAGAATCATCAAATCAGTTATAAATAGTTATCTACCCATAATCACAAATTCTATACAGAAGATTTGTAACAAATAAGACAAATATAACTGAAAGAGTATAACCAGTACGAACAGTAGAAAAAGTTTACACTTGTTCTTTTGTATTTGATGATAATTATATTTCATTTATAATCATATTCTGCACATTCTGTAAAAAACTTGCTTAAAATATAAAATTTCAAAGGGATCAGAGTTTTACTTTCCAAACTCCTCGATCCACTGAGCTCACAGAAAATTTACGCAGTGACGAAGTGCTTGGCCCTGCAGTATTCCATCTTTCATTAACAATCCTTCCAGAGTCGACTGAATTGGAATAAATGCTCAAAGGACTGACTGGATCTGAACAAACTTTTAGGAGATTGAAATACGATAAAATGTCAAAGGATACTTCTGAATCAAACAAACTTTTCAAGAAATAATTGTAAGGAAATGAAAGAGCAGCGAACTTTACTTGTAGTACTACTATGATTTCTTTCAACTGTAGGTATTAAGAGAGCAGTGGCCGAGGTGTTGATCGACAGTGGTGACGGAGCAGTTGGTGAAGTGTGCGTAACAGTTGTTGAAGGGTTACCCAACAAACATGATGAAGGGGTAGCCGGAAAATTTATCCACCATGAACGACTGCTAGGAACTAATGAAGACGATTGTATCGGGCTTGTAAGAAACTGTGGCACATAGTCTGATGCAGCTGAATCAGAAGAAGTAAAAGGCGTTGTAGCTATGAGCGGAGTGTGATCGTATGCTGCCTAGTAATTGCAGATGTTTTTTATGAAATAATAAAACAAATTTTAATATTTTTATAAATTTCAATTAAAAATTAATCTCTTAAAACTATTTCCTAAACTCAATTTTCTAAACATCGTTTCCTACGCGAGAAGTACTAACCATATCTAGATTAAAACTCTAAATCTTTAACAAGAACAGATTAATAGAATGAAAAATATTGAAGATGATAGAATGAAAAATATTAGTTATATTGAAATTTGTTTTGTTATAATTAACGATCACAGAAACTAATTTTAGTTACTATATAATTATTATAGATAGGTATTCATACCTTGAACTGCATTTAATAAATTACAATGCATGATAAAAATTTTCTGATAATAAAAATGTAAAAAACTGCTGAATAATATACCTGTGAATATGTTGGTGCTGACGAATTGGCTAAAAGACTTTGGGGCAGTATGTCAGATGATTGCCTAGTCGGCTGTTGGGTTGGATTCACAAAACTACTAAAACGTGTTTCATATAGTTTAGGTGTAGATGATGGAGGTGGGGAGACATCAGGGTCATCGAGATTTCCAATTTCATGACTTAGTTGGTCAGGAGGATCTAAAAAGTGGATCGGAAGGATCAATATTTGAAACAACGTTTTTTTTTTCATTTATTTTACACATTATCTTTAACAGTAGAGATAATGCATGAGTGGACGTTGAAATATTTTGATTAATGAAAGGGTAATAGTAATTTCGAATCAATTCAATAGTTTAACGTCGCCATGATATAATTAGCAAAAATGTACTCTTACCTTATTGTTAGGGAAATTTTTCAAGCAATTTTATAGTAGTACTAAATTTATACATACAAGCATGTATCACAGTGGTTATTACGTTAATATAACCAATTAAATGTTACTGGAGCTATTTATTGATGAAAAGCATGTAAACTCAGTAGCTACTGGAACACCTCATCATTATCTTTTGACTTCATATTTTATCATTTTAATTGTACCCATATACGCAAACAAAAAACTCTTTTGTTTTCAGCATGAACACATAAAGTGAACCTAATTCTGACTAACCAAGAGATGCCATTATTTCCTCAATGCTTGGTTGCAAGGACAGCAATCCAGGCTGCATGACATCAGCATTACAACTTTGCGCTAAATATTAATTAAAATTTATAAGGTTAATTATTAATTACCTTCTAACAACAAGCTTATCTCCACAAAGAATGATTTGAACAGTGACTTTGGAATTTTTTGTCGTTGTTTCCAGAAAAAGCCATAAAAGCTCTAAACTTTTGTTGCTTTCTGATAACTTACAATTTCTGTTTCACAGAACTTTGTATTATACAAAAAAGAAAACCAACCTTACCTGCAATAAGATGAAAAGTATAAAAACTGATAAATTGTCAAAACATACTAATTTCTTTTGGATTTGGAAATGTATATGGTTGCATTAGACTTGCAAACAGTGAATCCGTAAATTCGTTTTCAAAACTATCAACATCTGGTTGCTCTACAGATGAATTTTGCGGCATTGAATTTTGTACTGCTAAATGACGAGAGGAAGTTATATCTTGGCTCCAACTTATGCCCTAAATGTTTTGTTATTTATTTTTATACATCAACATGACAATGAAAAAAAATGTATTTCACATTTTTTTTCAAAAGCTTTCCCTTTTGATTTAACCATTGAACACTCATTATTCATGATTTGATTTCTTACAGTTTTTTCATCACTAGTAAAGTCTCCATGCGTTTACATCACATTCAAAAATGATGAACATATAGAAAAAAAATAAGAAAATAATTGCATGCACACGATAAAAGTCATACTCGACGTTTTCCTCTTCTTGATGTTCTAAAATGACGCCAACGTTTATACTGTGCCTTTAATGCATCCAAACCTCTCTTCCAATACATTCCTTCCATGACAGCACCCTGATATTGCTGACAAAATAGAATTTAAAAATACTGCAGATTACCGTAGTGAACTATAATGTAGTTATCATTAAAGCAGAAATTTATGTAAAACAATGCACAAAAACAGTCTTACTCCACATAAATATGTAGCAAAAATTTATGCTTTGAATAATTAAAGTACCTCAAGCCTAACGTGCGTAGCATCATCATCCGGCACAGAGAAGTAGCAGTAAGGCGTTTTTTTTGATTTGTCTTTATCAGGACGTCGAACTAGAAAAAAGTCAACCAAAATAAACAACTAACATCCAACTCAAACGTTCTAAATGTTTATGGTGAAACAAATGATGGATAATCTTTTTAGTAAGTATACTAAAACCAACTAACATAATTAACGAACTCAGTTTTTACCCTATAATTAATATGTAGACATTTATTCAAAAAACTGCCCCTTTTAGATTGATGATATTGAATGAGAAACGTACATTCCATATAATAAGCTCTCCAGATAACATTGTTCAAACGTATTCGTTGTTTCCAATGTAATCGTAATCCTTTGAAATCTTTCCATTTTGGAGTAGTCATTTTACTGAAATTAAATTAGGAAGCTATTATTTAAAATAATGACAAGAACTGAATCAATTTCAGATATTTTATCAAAATATAAACAAAACATCGTCATATACTTTGCCCAAATAAATAGCCTAATACTTTCAATACATTACTTTTAAGAAAAGTTCTAACACTAATATCTAAATGCATAATTTGGAAAATTTATCAAACATAGTCTTTAGTTCAGTTTTTTTTTCTTTTTTCTGATTTACTGAAGGTTGATGCTTCTACTGCACATAAGCATCTAAGTAATTGGGAAAAAAATGTTCGTGACTACAATCGTATATATAATTAAAAAGAAATTTTACGCAAGATATAGTTTTCTTCTACGAAACTTGTACTAAAAAGTATGAGTGATTATCCACTATCATAGACTAATGATAAATAACCAACAAAATGACTGATTAATGACTGCTGCCTAGTACAATCGTTATCCAAAAACACTGCAGTAATTGGGCGCTCTAATAATTTTTAGTTAGTTTTACATTTTATTTAGTATAAGAAGCTATTAAAAATGAATGACAACTGAAAATGAACCCAAATCATTACCTATGCAAAACTGATAATTACTGATTTAGTCACGACTCTAATATTTCATTTAATTGCAGTGATACAATAACAAAACAATAAATACATTTTGCAATTTATTAATGAAACCTTATAAAACATCTTATCATTAATATACCACAAAAAAAAATGCTGCAGTTATGCTTTAGGGCAAGTGATGCAGCAAACTCCTAGTTTGAAAATATTTTCTTTGTACTGACCAAAGAACACTAAAACAAATCTTTAAACTGACAAAATTATATGATCTAGTGTTCTTTGTGTTGATCAAATCACTTCACGCACGAGTAATTAATTGCAAAAATTTTTTAAAAGTAAACATGTAGGGGGAAAAAATAAGTTAGCAAGAAAGTTAACTTATATGCCACTTTGATGCATTTATTTAGTTTGTTCAAGGACACATCAATCGCTATTGACTGCGTTCTTTTAGGACCAAACTTGTAAAAAGTAACCGGTTTTTCATCCTGAAACATTTCTCCTGACAACTTTACAAACAACTGAAAAAATTCATTAGCTACAAACCATGAAAAATCTGCTAAAAACAAATACGCTAAATAGAGGCAAACAATATGGCAAGAAGACATAACAGCTAGCGCAAAAAGTTACACCTTCTTTGTAAAGGTCATGCAAAGACGTGAATAAAACTCACATGAACATTTAACTCACGCAAATCTTGACCTTTCTGTTCATCATCTTCTAATTCTTCGACTACATCGTCCACAACATCAACCTTCAGTAAATCAGTACACAAGCTGATAATAATATCACTTATGCTTTTTCTAACAATTTTCATCTACAGTTAATATAATATGAAAAGAGCAATCAGAGTGATATGAAACAGAAATTAGAGCAAGATCAGTTATGCTTCCAAGAACTGATCTGTATCCCAACTTTGCTCATTTCATGTTTGTATGTGTTTCTCAGTTATTTTTTTACATGAGTGTCAATATATTTGGTTAAAATGAAACAGGTGACAGCTTCAATGGTATTGTTTTATCACTGAAACGGTCTCTGTACTTTATTACCTTACTTCGAGCCTATTCTTCTTTTAACAAAACCTACAAATTCAAATAAATGAAAAACAATCCATATGGTAGGTAAATTTTAATTGCTAAGCAACTGCAACATACAAAAATCTAAAAAGCCCACCCATTTTCTTATTTTACACATACACCAGTGAGTTCTGATCTAAGAACCATATTAAAGCTTCATTAATTCTTTTCAAGTACTTGCTTGGTCTGTGCATGAACTGCCTTCTTTCTTTGGAATTATATATTTGAACAAAATTAAAACTGACTCCGACAGGATCTTCATCAGGCAGGAATTCATCAGAATGAGGATTTGATGTCATAAAATGACCACTGTGAATTGGTTCCTGTGTTGATATCTTCGACGGCATTATTTTGAATTTGTATTATCAAATAAAAGTAATATACAGCAAAAATCAAACCTGAAAACATATAAATAAATAACAATGATTAGTTAACTGCAAAATAATGTGATATGAAGTCTAAAAGGTAAACAATGCATTAAGCTCAAAAAGCGATCGAAATCAATGTGGTACAATCGAAAAACAACAATAATTCAACATCATACTTATTAGGAATGCTTTCTTGTCATGAAAATGATCAAAAAAATTAGCATCTGTATTTCATTATTTTATATCACTGAAATATTATATATTTCTCCTTTCTTCCTCACCTAAAAAACAAGCAAAAATGCTGGACTTGTAAATGCACGTCAAGGAAATGATCTAATTTTATGTAATTATGATTATGAAAAAAAATTCCATCACTTTCAACAGCCGTCTAGAAACATTAGTTTGAGAAATAAAACATTCGTGATGACATTTCTTCTGCATATAGAATTTGATATTGTGCCATAACATTCAGCTTGATCCAAATCAACATGATTATCTATCGCAATAAATCAATTAAATATGTTTAGCACATGTCGAGGATCAGTAAAGTTAGCACTTATCGATTATTATATCAGTATTTTGTTGCAAATAACAAAAGAGGCTTAGGCGAGAAGCAATCAAATTGATAACAATTAGTGATATGTCGACACTCGACATTTGCAAGTGTACATCAAGCATCATTACTGATATAAATAGAGATGTCAATGAGACAAAGTAATGTTATTTAGTGCTTTTCGATATCTGAACAAAACAAAGTAAACAAAGATTTTCAAAGTTAAAAATAACGGACAGACATTTTTCTGCAATTCTTGCCTAAAAAAATCAAAAGTCAACAACAACCATAGCAAGATTGAATGAAAAAAAGAGTAAAAAATCAAATAAAACACAAATCAAAAGCAAAGAAGCACTCTGCAAGACCGCAAAAATGGTGCTATTGTAATAGTGATTAATCTTATCAAACATGTCAAGATTCCAAAAATGAGCGCAAATATATATAGTTCTTACTAGTGTTGTAATAACAGCTATGTGTTTTTTGAAGAACAAAAGTGAATAATTCTATGCAACGCAGTATGAATACAACACTTGCATTAGATAGTTAAGAAACTGAGTAATAACGAATCTGACCGTAAGCGGAAATTTTAACGTTTTCAATGCTTTATCAAATATGCAATTTTTTTTGAGTTGAAAAATTTACCAATTTACAAATCTTTATATTAAGAACTTGCTTAAATTATCACAAAAATACCCATTTTGTTGAATGAGATAAAATTCAGTAGTGTAAACGAAGCGCAAATTTCCATTAATGTCGAAGATATAACAACTACTTCTACAATTGAAAAGAGGGCTGCAATCAAATACAACTTTTTGATTTTCTACTATATAAAACTTACATAATCGCATTATCAATTTATATGCCTGCTAACAAACTTGTCCAACAATGAGCTGGAGCCTTGACTGAGAAAAAAAATTGAATATATTACGAAGCAGTACGAGAAAAATTCACTTAATAACTCTACTCTAACAACTATTCTCGAAAATTATTCACTACTATGAACAAATGCCTAACTTATGAAAAATAACACGCAAGTAAAGAAAACACTTCTCAAATACTACGCTTTTTTGTTCAAATTTATGAAACATTGCAAATACGATATACAAAAATACTATCAAAAAAGAATTTTTTGCAATCTTTTGAAAATTTTGCATACCAAATGTTATAACACTAACACTGACAATAAAGCAGAAAAGCACGAATTATTCATTTCGAATTCAATTCCATAAATTTTAAAAAAATTCAAGCATTACAATGATAATTTATAAAATGTAGTCTATATAATAAAGAAATTAGCACCACAAATTTGAAAATAAAAACTACTCAATGAAGACTAAATTGAATTTTTAAATACGTGAGCATCACTTTGATTCAGTGCACTACAACAAATTAATGATTGATATGCAAGCAATAAGTGTACGCATATATGTCAAATGCTGAAAAATGGTTGTAAAATACTTTTCATACATACTCTTACAAATGCATATTGAAGGAAAAAGTTTAAAACAGTTTAAATTGAACGATTGTTATTACTGATAAATGAGAAGAGAAAAACTTTTTGTTCCCCAGAATGTTTGCTGTATTATCTATAATACCAAACATCAAGAATCAAAAGAGAAGCCTTTCAAGATGCGAGGTTTTGCTTTTTATGTTACTGATTCCGTTGAAACTACCACACATACATGCTTAAACAGATTATAATTCTGTACCTTTGACATTGCTTTTGAGAGAAAAAGCAAGCACATGAAAACATATTTGGGATATTGAAGCTATTTATTATCGGTATCGCTTACTGGTAACTCATTTACAAAGTTCTTTGCTATCGTGTATTGAAAAGTTTATATCACTATTATGAATCAGATGTACATGCAACGCGAGGAAAAATCACACACTTCAATACTCTCAATTTTCACTTTTGCAATGCTAGAAACAGTATATTCAAATTACTGATATATTACTAATATTAATCTTGCATTAAATAAATAATTATGGAATAGCAAAAAATATTGATAATACTAACCATAATTAATAAATTTACTATTTAAATCTAACACCACAGAGTATAATTCAAACTGATTTTCTACTTCATTCATTTTCTGAATGACAAAATGGCAATTAAAACTGCAATCGTACAATTTCTGTAATGTTTCAATTTTCTACCAATTCTTTTCAGTTTATTCGTAGTTAATTAGTTTGCATTACTTCTGCTAATATGTTCAACTGAAAAAAGTATTCTTCTATAAAGCAAAGAACAAACAAGCTTAAGAAAGTTTGGAAATCAATCTGTAGTAAAAAGTAGTACTACGCACTCGATTTCCTAAGCAATACTTCGGCCAATTAATTTACAACATTTTATCTCATTTTTGCAAGCACTGTTTCTTATAATGAAGACATGAAACTCGGTTTGGATATTAATTTTTGAATAACACAATTATTTTCATAATTTCGGAAACCTAGAATTGACATATATTTTGTAGATTTTCAAAAAATGATCTTACACTTTGCTAGTTTCAAATTGATGCGCTTCATTTTATGCACCAAAAAATGTTTATATTCTTCAGAGCAGAAAAAAATGAATGCAGTGATATTAATTTGTTATAACCATTTTAATTTATGATTTAGACAAGTAACATACTTTACTTGCTAAATAGGACATGAAAGTACTTTTACTAAAAGTATTTTTAATTAATAAATAATTGTTAGGACAAAAAGAGTTGCAATAATAGGTCAACTGCTTCAAAAGATGCATAAATCAAACTAAATGTGTACTTCAGTACTTTGGAATGATCAATTTCGAATTTTGTTCGAGAGAAAAGCTAGCTCAGATAATTGACTGAAGACAAAAATTTTCTCTTAAAACACAAAATACGTGTAAATTTTTTTTAGAACCATTTTGCCAGCCGCAAAATGTTTCGCCCAACTCAAAGAATTTAAAATATCTAAATTTCCATTTAAATATCCGTTTTTTACTTGTAATTCTATACATTCACTGCTATTTTACAAAATCATCATGAGAAGAA